ATGAGGAGAAAGAGAGTTTGTCGGTGTGAACATTAAATGCTAAAAGGAACCAACACAAAAAATAAGAAACAAAGTTGATAGATTAGATAAAAATGAGGACAATATGGGAATTAAATTATAACAATAAGGGTATTTGTGAAAAAAAACCACACGCCAAAAAAGGAAAGATACTAGCTTAGCAATATGCACTTAATTTTGGTCACCCCAAAAAGGAATACAGGCTTGTAATAAAAGGACGGAGGGAGTACATAATAAATCAAAATTGATCGAAGCTAACCAAAAATCAAACAAAAAAAATACAAGTGAAACTAACATATAAAACCTAATTACAAATCAACAAAACAAAATACTAATCTGCATTGACGATCTCTTCGAGAATAACAACTAATTCTATGTTGTAAGAAACAAATTCAATAAAAAAATGAAATAAAAGTGATTAAAAAAACAGAGGAGAGAGAAAATGAAAAACAAATTTAAGGAGAAAAAACATAGGAGAAGATAATTATATTGAAAAATTTGATGATAATTTGGATCAAAATTATTATAAGAAAGAAACCAGAAGAGAGAGAATTTGGAAGAAGGAAACAAAAAATATAAAAAAGAAAACAAAGAGTTGTGTTGATTAATTTGAGTTTGGGTTGTGTTTAATGCATAATGTCCTACGTTTAAGGATGTTGCACCTATTTTATATGCATGAGGATACATGTAAGCATATGCCCATCGAAGGGGGTTTCGTCAGTTTCACCTACGAGGCCAGTTAATGTGCTCTCTTATAGTGGTGTTTTTCGACCCATTCTAGTACGGTCTGAGCCCAGTCATCTACTCGTGGATAAATGTAAAAGTCTTGACCACATCATTTCACCACTTTCAACAAGAAAATTCTATTTATTCTTGAAGAATAATTCTAGTTGACATCCAAGCAAAACCCAAAAGAAATAAGGAAAATTTGTCAAAAATAACACCACCTTTCACCGGTCTTCCAAGAATAGAACGACCTTCGGATTATTTAAAAAAAAACGACCTTTGATGCACATCCGCCAAAAATAAAACGTAACCGGTTGGTAGAGGTGGCCAGTGGGCCGGGTTGGACCCAGCCCACCCTAACTCGCACGGCTGGTGGGTCACGTGGGTCCGACCCGGTTTCAATCCGGCACAGCCCGGCACAGCTCGGATTTAATCCGGGTTGTGTCTTGGGTCCAAAATTTTCGACACAACCCATTTCAACCCAGCTCAGTTTAACCCGTTTGATTCGACCCAAATCGCACAACCCGTTTTGACTCATTTAATTCGACACACCTAGCCCGTGAACCCACCTAACCCGACCCACCTGGCACAACCCAGCCCGCACGGCCCACCCGCACGAATGACCCACCCAACCCGCACGAGCCAACCCACCTAACCCGCACGCATGACCCACCCAACCCGCACGGCCGGCACAACCCGCACGGCCCGCACAACCCGCACGGCCCGCACAGCCCGCACAATTCGCACGACCCGCACGGCCCGCACGGCCTAACATCCATTTTAAAAAAAAACGGCTAGTTTTTTGTATCTAACGGCTAGTTTTTTGTATCTAACGGCTAGTTTTTTAAGTGTATGATCATCCATTCTATTTTTCCTATAAATACCAATTCCATTTCACTCAAATTTCCACACAAATTCAAGCTTTCTTTCTCTCTTACTTAAAAATTCTTATTGTTCTCAAATTCTCAAGTGTTATATAGAGTTATATTTTTGTTAAAAAAAATCTCCTTAATATTATTATTAGTATTCTTAAGATTCTAAAAAAAAAAGTTCTTCTCCATATTATAATTAGTAATCATACAAAAAAAAAAATGAGCTCAAGAGGAGGAATGGGAAGGAGTCAAAGTGGTGGTCGAAGTGGTAGCCAAAGGAGTGGTGGTGCAAATTTTTCGTATGAAATTAATACGGAAAATTTAAACCAATTTGTCAATGAATATGGAGATTATGGTTTAGGAGATAGGCAAAATATTCAAACGTCTCCACCACAACATTTCTCCCACGAGTCCCACCAATCATCAAGTTCAACTATGCCACCTCCATCGCAACCAACATCTCAACCTTCATCTCAAGGTAATTTCTAATTAAATTTTTATTGTTATGAATATTTAAAAAAAACTATTATTAATGATTATAAAGTTAGTTTAGTTTCCAATTTTCTATGATTTACAATTAGTTAATTACCATGAAAAATGCGTTTAAATAAGTATAATTAAAATATTTAAAATTTAAAAGCTTATTTTCATGAATAGCATTTAAAAATTAATTTTAATAATTTGATTTATGAAAGGTGGTGGCGGTGAAAGTAGAGGTCGAGCACATTTTTCTTGGGTGTGGAAACATTTTGAACGAGTTGAGGTCACACCCCCGGGATGGCAACCTGGTCAACCAAAGAGGTTCACGTGTACATGCCTAGTTTGCAAGGCGCTAGGTGCAAATGTCAAGTCATATAATTGGAAAACGGGAGATGGAACCGGAACCTTGAGTCGGCATTTGCAAAATAAACACGACTTGTTCGAAAATGGCCCCCGTCCTTCGGGGGGTGGCGTCCAAACACAATTGGGTGGATACATGAACCAACCCGGCGGAGGTACACCTTTCATTTATAATAAAGATAGAATGATTGATGAAATGAGTACTTTAGTTATTGCTAATGAATACCCTTTTAGTTACGGTGAAAATGCAAACGTTGAGCATTTTAATAAAGTTGCATTACAACCTGCATTTACTCGTGTCCCCCGAAATACCCTAAGACGTTATACACAAACTTCTTATTATAAGTATAGGAGTGGTTTGATTGAATTATTTCGTACTTTTGATGGTCGTGTTAGTTTTACAAGTGATACATGGACTTCTAGTTTTGGCGAACCTTTTCTTTGCATTACTGCTCATTGGGTGGATGATGATTGGTTTATTCAAAAACGTATACTATGTTTTCAAGCTATGGAAGAAAGGCATACCGGTTTTAACATCAAAGTTCGTATTTTGGATTGTTTAAAAGAATTTCACTTGAATAATAAAGTTTTTTCTTTGTCTCTTGATAATGCAACTGCAAACACAAAGTGTATTGACTATTTGAAAAATGACTCCGAGTTGAATTTGTTGTTGGGTGGTAGTATCTTGCATGTTAGATGTTGTGCTCATATTTTGAATTTGTCTGTTCAAGAGGGTCTCGCTGAGTTGCAACCATTGCTAAACCCAATTAGAACAGTTATAAAATGGATTAGGATTACTCAGTCAGTTAGAAGAAAGTACATAGCTATGTGTAAAGAGAGAGGTCTTAAGAAAAGACAATGGTCTATTGATACCCCTACCCGTTGGAATTCTACTTTCAAGTTGTTGAGTGATGCTATAAAGTATCGTGATATTTTGACCCAACTTTACAATGAGACTCGTGTTGATCCTACTGAGTTAATAACCGAAAGTCATTGGACTAATGCTTCTTTTGTTCGTGATGTTTTAAATGCTTTTGATAGTGCAACTCATATTTTCTCTTATATTTATGAGCCTAACGTTCATTTAGTCATAATTGAGTGTGTTAAAGTTGTTCACACCATCGAAGAGCATATGAAGATTGATGGACTTCGTCCCGTTCTTGATAGCATGAAACGTAAGTGGCATACTTATTTTAGTGAATTTCCAATCATTTATGGAATTGCTGCTATTCTTGACCCCGGTGTCAAAGCTGAAGGTTTGGAAAATCTTTTAGAATTTTATTATACAAGTTTAAGTATCGATTATGATGTTAGTGAATATATTAACAAATGCAAATCTGTTTTGGGAGACCTTTATGATCATTATGCATCTATTTATGGTTTTGATTTGGCAACACCAACTACTACTAGCACTTCCGATTCTAGATTTGGTTTTCTTGATAAAGTTATGAAAAAAAAACACAAAGCATCTACATCATTCTCATCATCATCTTCTTCAACACTTGCTATTAATGATTATTTGTCATATCAACATGAGACCAACAACAACTTTCAAATTATAAAATGGTGGCAAGAACATAAAAAAAGTTTTCCTATATTGGCGAGAATTGCAAAAGATATACTTGCAGTTCCCGCTTCATCTGTTGCTTCCGAGTCTGCTTTTAGTGCAGGTAGAAGAGTGTTAGATGAAAAAAGATCTCGCTTAACTCCGGAAAGCATTCAAATTTGTGTTTGTAAGAAAGATTGGGATCAAGCTGAAAGAAGAACTCAAGGTTTAAAGGAAGACGAAGACGATGAAGATGATCCTGTGATGATATTGGAGTCGTCAACGGATGATGCAGCTTCCGGGGATGATGATGCAACAAACATGGGTGGCTAGAAAAGTCTAAATCAGGTACGCTAAGAACTACGTGGGCTTTGATTCTTTCGGGATACGTAGGCAACTTATTTTTCGAAAATTACAATTTAATTGCAAAATTAAATTTTAGTTTTCTAAAGATAGGTCCAAGCCCCCCCCCCAAATTTCAAAAGAAGTACAATATAAGAACTACGCTGGCTTTGATTCCTTATTTTATAATATAAGGATACGTAGGCATCTTAATTAAGAGCAAGCCATCAAATTGTTAATTTTGTAAAAATTAAAACACCACACAACCCACCCGACCCTAACCCACGAACCCACCCGACCCTAACCCACAAACCCACCCGACCCTAACCCACCTAACCCACAAACCCACCCGACCCTAACCCACCTAACCCACAAACCCACCCGACCCTAACCCACTAACCCACCCTTCGACCCACCCTAACTCACTAACCCACATTGACCCGTCTAACCCACGAACCTAGCTCGACCCACCCATGACCCGTCTAACCCACAAACCCAGCTCGACCCACCCACGATCCGTCTAACCCACAAACCCAGCTCGACCCACCCACGACTCGTCTAACCCACGAACCTAACCCTGATGTGTTCAACTTCTCCGACCCAACCCACGACCCGGCCCACCCTACCCTACGTGTGTCGTGCCGTGTGTCATGAAACCCCAACCCGCGACCCACCTAACCCTAACCCAGCTCGCACGACTCGCACGGTGGACACCTCTACCGGTTGGTAACCTATTAAATAGGTTACTAGTGACACGTGTCATAATGTCATTGGTCAATATTTTTTAACATTATTGTTTTTTAAAAAAAACTTAACATTAAAAAAAAATACATAAATTAAATAAAAAAAATTCCCTCTCCCCGCTGCAGCCACCTCCATCACCGAGTCCTCCCCTTAAACGCCGGCGGCCAGAGCCTCCTACCACGGCGCCTGAATATAGCTTGAAGATCTTCTTCTTCCAATTCTTCTTTCATTCAAGCTTTCTCTCTCCTCTGAAATACCCACAAATATCTAGCCCTCGTCAAAAAATCGAGAGTTTTACAATGTTCATCCCATGATTCGATTTGGTGGTTTAATTTTGAGAGTGAGAATAGTAGCTCAGCGGCGTCATTGCATCATTTGGCGCTTGGGAAATGGGGTGGAGACGGCTTGCGGGGCGTCGAGGGAAATGGGAAATAGGTTTGGGCTACTTTTGGTGGGAGATGAGGTTTTTTGAGGGAGGGAGAGGGGTTTTTGGGTGGGGGAAGGTGGTTCAGGGGAAGGGGTGGTCAGGATGGGGCACCGCCGGCGCCGAGTAGAGGACTCTGGCCGCCGGCGGCGGTGGTGGTGTTGCTGTCAATAAGGAGAGGGGTTTTTTCTTTTAAAAAAAATTCAGCTTATTTTAGTTTTAAGTTTTTTTAATTTAAGTTTTTTTTTTTTTAAAATTATTATTATTTAAAAAAATGTTAAAATAAATTTTTTTTTTTCAACCAATCACACATGGACACATGCCAAATATAACATGTAAAACAAGTTACATGTTTTTGTTATATTTTGGGCGGATGTGCGTCAAAGGTTGTTTAATTTTGAAATAATCCAAAGGTCGTTCTATTCTTAGATGACCGATGAAAAGTGGTGTTATTTTTGACAAATTTTCCAATAAACAAATTGGGACGAAAATAGAAACTGAAAGTTCGGGTAAACTTTACGGCAAAGGCTTTTCAGTTTCAACAATTATGATCTTTGTAAAACAGCCATAACTCTTTCTCCCTTTTTATTTTAAATTTTTAAATTTTTTTCTCTTTTATTGATGGGTATGTCATCAATCGTTGGAAAGTTATTGAGATAAACTTTCAACTCCAACCTAAATTAACTTGAAATCATTTATAGATTGAGAGATATGTGCTTTTGAAGTCAACTCATTGATATTTATCATTGATTTCAAGACACAATTAACAAATGGAAACAAGTAAATAGAAATTCCACCAGGAAAAGTGTAAAACTGTAAAGCCATATCTTATACACAAGATTTCAATCACAATTATAAAATCTTTATAGCTACTAATACTTAACACTTTGTTTGGATAGGAATAAATGAAAGGAAAAGAAGAGAAGAGAAATGGAGGGGGACAAAATCTCTTGTTTGGATAAAAGATTGGGGGGAAGGAAGGGGAAGGAGAGGGAGGGATCTATTTTCCCTCTCTCTATAATAACCATAATCTCTCCAAAATTGGAGAGATTTGGAGGGAAAATGGAGCTCACCTTCCCCTCCCTTTCTTTTCCCTTCCCTTCCTCCATTCTCCCTCCCCTTCTTTTCTTTCCTTCTTTGCTATCCAAACAAAGCGTAAAGGTATCACACAATAGATATACATATTCAAAGACTAATGATATACAGCCTCAAACTCGAAATCAAATATTGTGCAACTTCATATTGAGATGCTATTCGGAATTCCTTTACCTGTAAGTCCCCCAACTTTGGAGTAATCTGATGTGTTTGGATACAGTAAAGTGTATGGAACTTTAACCGGTCCCTGTCGATTTTTCAATTTCTTGTCATTGTTCCTTTCTGTGATATTCTTTTCAATATCTGATAGCTTCATCTGAAATCGCTGAAATGCCGCTAGTGGTTCAGCATCAGAAGTCCACTCAGGGCTATCCCTCTGCCCAAGGTAGATCTCATCTGTAGAGTGACGCGACAAAATTTCAATCAATGAAACACCGAGGAGTGTCTGAAATTGAGCTGTTATTGTTTTCAGAAAGGCTCTCTCAGGATCAGACTCGAGTTCAGCATATTCTGGAGTGCCTGGCTGAGGCATGAATCGCCTGCTTACAGTAGGCCGGTTTGGGAGGTATCCTGCATAAGGATACTGTCCAAAATTGACAGCAGCATGGAGTGCAGAAGCAACCCATATGATGATTGTGCATGTGTTTGTAAGATCATGCCTGGTTTTCATTTCCGACCACCATGGTTCATCTTTCTTATCACCATGGCCCTCATAGCGGATTTCTTTCCACCACGATTGAAGCTCAGGATCTTTTTCTACTAGGTTGTCTGTTGGGTAGTAGTAAGAGCAGTAGTCATTTACCCATGTCTCAATTGCAGACCAGATTTCTAGCCCGTCAACTGCAAATGGATAATCCTCGATCAATAGCTTCAGACCATGAGGTTGGTTGGAATCCTCAACTGCTACCCCTCTGAAATGATTCAAAAACATTGTGGTTAGACCGGGAAAATCATGGTACAAGCTGCACATTAGTTCTAAATAATAAATTAGCATTGCATATTATTTCCATTGCATACCGTTTAAGGAGATCAGCAGGAAGTGCTTCGTCATTGAAAATCCAACTTTTGTATATAAATGAAGACATTTCCATTGCATATTTTGCTGGGAAGACTGTTCTTTCCAATACTCCACCAGCATTGATGAGGATTTGCCTAGCCAAGGCATTAATGTTCATTGTGTCGCGGAAATGGGGTTGCAAAAGCTTGTGAATTGGGTGAATAACACTCAACTGTCTATTAGTTGCAATTATAAATGGTTCTATTATAGCATGAGTGTACAACCTGCAACAACAATCGAGTGTTACGGTAAGAATTCTGAAACCTCAAGTATAAATTCATGCATAAGGTCAATGTAGCCTTTGTTTGTCAAGAATTTTACCAATGACATATGAGCTGATGAGTGCCAGAATCATTGACAGCCGCGTAGGCTTTAGCTAATTGCCACACTGAGGCTTCAACACCCTCTTCGGCAGGAGTATAAACTTGACTAACAGCACCATGTTTTTCACCTTGTTGATGAGGCAAGCTGAGTTCGATTGCCAATGGCTTCAGTGTACCATCATACTTCAGAAAGAGGATTGTCCTTGTCGCGTACGTCTTTGTAGGGGTAGAGTTTATCCTTGTTAGATATGGCATTAAAGTATCGTGATGATCTAATATATACAACCTGTTGCTTTTAATTGCCTGTGGAACGCCATCATAATAGAGAAGTCGCAGAGAATTAGCAAAGGGAAAAGAAATAAATTTACCAATACAGCAATTATAATTTAAGACAGATTAGAAATGGCAGCCTTACTTTATCAGTAGAGTATCCATCCATGTTCTTTTCTATGTGCTCCCTTGTTATTTTACTGTTTTGATCACCATAGAGTTTTGTATCCAGCTTGCTCTTTGGAGGAAATTCCTACAAAATATATAGCCGTGTTAGTTTATGAATGTAATAGCAAGAGTAATCTACAAAAACTATGAGTGATCAGAAGCTTTTATATTACTTCAAGACGGCTGATGAGAACAGGATTCACTCCAGCTAACATTTCTCGACCAAACTCCTCATCAGTTCTCCAAGCAGAATTATCCTCTAAGATTTATAACAAAATAAAGCCAATTTTAAGACAGAAATTTCACCCTTCACACAATATGTTGATATATAATTTGAAAAAAGATGGTTTTCAATGTAAATTCAAGTTTTATGATACCTTTGATCACATCAGGTATAGGGAATTTGAGAAAATGTTCACCATCACTTCGGATAAGTTCCTTGAGCATTTCCCATGGGACCCTATCTTTGAGTTTCGTGAGTGCTCCGTCTGGTAGCTTGAAACCTCCTTTGTAGAGATTAATGACATCTTCGAATGAGACAAACTCATTTGGCGTTTTATCACATACGGATTTCAGCTCTGGTAGTAATATCTGGACAAGAGATTTCAAGGCGTATGCCAGAAAATCTGAAAATTTGATGTGTCCAAACCGCTCATCTCTTGGAACATATATATCAAGACTAAGAAGAGGCAGTCGACTTTCTGTATTTGGATCTGCAAAGACAGTAAACCAAACTTTAGTTAATAAAATTATTGATTGCTGCAATGCAGCTAATACTCTGAATCCTACTGATTGAAAATATGATGCTAACTTGTACTAAGCAAGTACTGAATATTTGTTTACTGACCAGTTTTTGTTGGTTTACGGCCTGTTTTCCCTCTCCGTGGATAAGGGTATTCACTCGAGCCCCCAAGAACAGGACGCGCATACTCTTTCCCCTTGTCAGGCAATCCTAAGTCATTGTAGTAATCGTAATCATATAATCTGTCCCATTCTTTGAGCACGCCTTTTCCATCACCTCGTAGATTCACAAGCTCTTCTTCCCTATATTTGCGTAATGCTTCTGGCGTCTCATACGGAAGATAGGTCTGATGCAGCAAAGCACATGAAAATCAGCAAAAGTTTCATATTATAGATACTAATGTGAGTTTGTGACAGTCAAATTCTCATGTTCTCTCATTTTACTGCTAAAGATGGAAATGATTGTTACTCATTCAGATGTGTTACTGAGATTATTGACGTAGTCTTCTTTAAGTTGAATCAGTTTCTTCCTTTTAAATGACTTATTCTAATCAGATCTAAGGTTTGAAGTATAGGGATTGAGTTTGCAGCTTCTCAATGACAGAAATGTGTACTATTTTCCCAAACTACTACAATGAGTGCAGTTTGATATGGACATGAATTCTGTTAGAAAAGAGACGTCTCAAAGCAATAGCAGATTTTATCCATTTTAGTACTATGCAGAGACTACAGACTTCCATTCCCTGTAATAACCACCTATTGGTTTGTAACTTTGTATGTCACATGGTCAAACTATAACACAGGTAGGTGTCCAAGCATCATACTCGGTCACCCTACTCATTAAAAAAAAAAAAAAAAAAAGGTTAATTAATTAATTTATTTATTTTATTATTATTATTATAATTATTATTATTATTATTATTATTATTATTATTATTATTATTATTTACAAAATCAATAGTTTAGTGTACATACTCCATATGTAAAAGATACACATTATGTTTGTGGATTCACATGCAACTGGATAAAATAGCTTATCTTGTTTCTATAATGTTATAATGTTGCTTTATTCTGTACGTCTTAACATATTCTTAAAACAATATAATATTACTATGTGCTTTTAGGATGATACATTTGTGTTCTATATTCTATTTTGTTTATGTTGTACTTCGTAATTGTTTGCCTATGTTGTGATTGTTGTATGTGTATGTGCTTTAATTTATTATCAAAGTGTTCTTTATTTTTAATAATTTTTGTGCTTTTATTACGATATTATTACACTTTTTGCTCATCACATGTAAGCTCTTGTTCAAAACTAAACTAGAACATCTGTATATCAAATATTAATCTTTGACTTGTTCATAAAAAGATATCAATTCAAATAACAAACAAGATATAATTGCTGGCAGAAAATAAAATCAAGAAAAAGTTCTGTCAGATTTGTTGCAAGCTAAGTACTGTAGAACTGCTACTGCATACAACCATCCAGGTGTAGTTTCTAAATTGTGAGACACACCCAGTCACCCACCCCTTCCTAAGTTAGTGGGAGTTTAAAGGTATAACAGTTATGCACAAACAAATACAGATTAGTGGCAATTTCGTAAATAATAACAAATTGAAAGTATTAATGTATTATCAAATAGGGCTAGAGCTGTCAGTTTCTGACCCAAACCGTTAAACCCGACTGTTTCGAACCGATCCGAAAAGGAATTGCATTGTTTAAAACCCGTTTTTTGGAAATCGAAAACTGACCTGACCCAATTTTTTCCAAACCGAAACTGAACTAAACCGAATTTGTGCAAACCGTTACTACCCGACCCGTTATCAAGCCTAACCGTTACAACCCGAAACTGAAAGCAACCCAAACCGATTACGTTTAAACCCGATAGTAACCCGACCCGTTTTAAACCGAAAACCGTTAAAACCGGATAAAAATCCGATAAACCTAAATCGTTCCAACCCGTAACCCGTTGTGACCGAACCGGTTATAATCCGTAACCCGTTGTGACCGAACCGTTTACGACCCGTAGCCCGTTATGACCAAACCGTTTAAAACCCGTAACCCGTTATGACTGAGTCATTTACAACCTGTTACCCAATATGTTTATGATCTAATCTGTTTCAACCCACTACTCGATAAACCCAACTTATTTATGACTTGACTTGATTATAACATGACTCGTTCCTACCCATTATCTGACTAATTCGACTCGATAATCATCCGACTCAATTTTAACCCGATATGATTTTGATTAGAAACCCGTTTCAAATTGGGTAAACTCGTTTTCAAACCAACCAAGTTCAATCTAAACCGATTATAACCGAAACAATAATGGTTGGACCCGATTTCACCCGATCTATTTTGAACCAAAACCCATTTTCGAACCGACCCAGTTAAACCCAAACTGATTATGACCCGAACCAATTACGACCCGTCCTGATTAAGACCCGAACTGTTTTTAACCGAAACCCACATTAAATGGGCTAAACCCGTTTTCAAACCGACCCAGTTCAACCCAAATTGATTATGACCCGAACTGACTAGAACCCGACCCGATAAGGACCCGATCCGAATAGAAACTGCAATTAAAAAAACCAAACCGAACTGGCCCGATAATTTTCAAAACCGACCCAAACCGACCCGCTTATTATTTCAATCCTTTATAAACCGACCCGTTATAACCCGAAACTGATAAACCCAACCCAAACCCGAACTGTTTAACCGAATTGACACCCCTAAATAGGGCACATGAATTGAAGTAGGTTGAGAAACAAAATCAGTCAAAAATGAAATTGACCCAATTATAAACTAATGCTACATAGACTAATTATCAGGTTGTAATTATTATATATTTATATATACGGTACGTACCTAATTTTCGTAATATAAGTTGTAGGCCTACGTATATAAATCCAAGTGTATAATTAAAAAGTCGTTGATCAATGAAAATGTAATAAGCACTTCCAAAGTGCCTAGCCCGTTAATCCGGGTCGGGAGGACTTGTGAGAGGTTCCGGCCCGATAGGGCCATTCTCCTTACCTTACCAACCAAAAAACCAAACTAAGTTTGATCTAGTAGAAAGGGTTGTATCTTCCAACTTTGAGATTAGGGGTTCAATTTTAACTAAAGACAATTTGGGTGGGGATTCCCTTACCCTCCCCCCCCCCCCCCCAAGTGCCTATCCTGTTTATCTGGGTCGGGAGGACCAGTGAGAGATTCCGATCTGATAACGTAGGGTCATTCTCCTTACCAACCAACCAAAAAAAAAATGAAAATGTACTAATAAGCATATTACTCCGTACCTTGTTAGAGAAGAAGACGCGATTGTATTTGTAACGATGAGCAGGGTAAACCCAAGAATTGCAGACAAAATGTACTGGGCCATGTTCAGGAACATCTAGTGTTACAGTTTTGAGGTAAAACTGACTATGATGATGATTTTTGATGATAAAAGCACCAGGAACACCAAAATTGTCATGCCACTCAAATGTAATATTGAATGTTGTTTCTCCAGCAGTTATTGGTGTAATTGTTGATACCCATTTTTCAACGTATGCTATTTTCCCCAAATTTCCTCGTAATCCCTTTCCTGTAACATAAATGCAGTACGTACCGTATTGTACAGATATAAGAGAATTATACTACAGAATGTTACTTTGCTAATAGTCGACTTTAGTTTTGCATATTTTGGTACCATTCTATGTATGCAACTATGCAAGTGATGTGTGCGTTAAATTTTAAAATACATACTTCCTCCGTTTTTTATTATTGCATCATAGTGGTTGGGTACAAATATTTTGATAGTGGAAAAAAATAAGAGAGAGAAAGGTAAAAATACAAAATTGTCCATGTGACATATTGATAAACTAAAAAGTAAGTGTGAAAAAACAAGGATATGTTGGGTATTGTAGTGTGAACACAAATAAAAGTTTTCCTAAAGAGCAAATGGTGCAATATTTGTGAAACTTTCCAAAAAGACGAGTGGTGCAATAATAAAAAAACGAAGTAAGTATGAATTATGAACTATACTACGTATATAATTATAAAACAACGATTTCATAAGAATACTATACCCTAAAAGTAGGAGCATTTTAGGTATTTCAAGTAAATAATGATCAGATGGACTGTTGTCACATGTCATCAGCCAAAAATTCCTAGTAGGAAAGGCCTAGTAAATTTCTTCTATCTCTCTTATGATATGCGGTCCTTTTATTTATTTTTTCTATTGCTCTCATTAGTTAAACTTTTTTTTTTTGAAAAATAAAAAATAGGAGTCCTTTTAGCAAAGGATGCATCTAAAAAATTGAATAATGTAAAAAACAAAAGGGTAATTTTGGTTAAGTGAAACTTTTTTTTTTTTTGGAAGCCGAGGGGTAAGCCCCTAGTGACACATTAAATGTGAATTAAAATAATTGTAAAAGTTATGCTAGAAGAACAAAAAAATTTGAAATTCTAAACGTACTTGTCTTAATAAAAAAAAATATATAAAAAAAAAGGGTTAACCTATATACTTATATTTTTTTGGTGAAGCCGTGGGGCAAGTCTCATAGAGTCATAGAAAAAAACGAAAACCTTAGAACAAACTAGAAAAGAAAAGGCAGAAAATAAAACACCTAATTACGGAGTGCTAAACATAATAAAAGGAACTGCTCATTATTCACCCGAGCTTGTCTTGGAATCGCCACATCCTTCAAATCCTTTAATAAAACGGCTCTAAGGTCTATTAGTACCGCCTCCAACAATAACATAACAATTTCTATTCCGAAAGGGTATGATAATTTGTCAACCAATCGACTGCTCTATTGGCTTCTTTAAAACAGTGATCGGTAGTATGCTGCCCTTTGAACTTTGGTTACAAAAAGTAAAACCTTAGAAATTTAGAAAATACTGCGTAACTTATTAGGATTTTTGGTTCATTTAATTTAAATCAAGTAAAAAGCTTAATACATATTATTATATACGGAGTGATTAGGGGATTTTGCTCCCACCAATCGGAATGCGCCACGTGGGCCAATCAGATCCTTCCAAGTGTCCCCCAGTTGGAACTGTCAGGGCTTGCCACGTGGCACACGCTTATTCGTCCACCCTGGACCTATTATGTCATGACACGTGGTACTCCATGCCTAATGGAGAAACCGGCCACCTAGGCCCAACTTTCGAGGGAAGCCCAATCAGCCCAAGGTTAACCTAAACCTAGGATTGGCACGTTTCCCGAGGTTATAAATACCTCCCTTAATCCTCATTAGGGGGATTACGCACATTAAACACTCTCACCTAGGGAGACCCAATCACTTTAATTTCCGCATTAATTACTCCTTAAGCAAGTACTAACTTGACCGTCGGAGGCGGATCTCCAATCATCCGGAGCATCCGTTTGTTTTGCAGGTACAGGCGTCCGGTTCTAGTCTCGGAATTGTAACTCTCCCGCAGGACATCAGAAAACCCCGAAACATTTTGGTTCCATCTGTGGGGAGAGTACTTCTGAGATGGCATCCATGTCTGTACCGACTCCAGAGGAGAGGCGTCCCCTAGACGACCCTCAAGTTCAGTCGGACCATGATACTGAGAATGAATTTGAAGTTGAAGCTCACACAGCTTCAGATGGGACCCTAAGGGCCCGACGCACCCGCCATACCGAAAGGAGGGAACGGGAACATCTTCAAACTAGACGTGAGTCAGTAGGCGCACCGCCTGTTCGACAGCAGCCGACTGATGGGTCTTCTCCCATCACAAGGAACGAACTCATGACCTTCATGAGGGACTTCAAGGGAGAGATTCAAGAGCTGCTCAACAAGAAGCCTGCTCTGGCCAAGGAACCGTCGGCTAAGAAACCCTCCACTTCAGGGAAGAGGAAGCCAGTTCAAGGGCGAGAGGCGACCCCTCATCCTAAATCTAGGAAGTGGGAGCCGCCTGCCCTTGATTTCACAAAATACCGTTTTCCTACTCCAGGAAAAAGGAAACATGTTCGTCATATTCAGGCGGACGGGTCGAAGAAAACATACACAGATGCTCGGTTATTGCTAGAACAGAAGAAGAGTGACCGATTGTCAGAGTCGGCCTCTACTTCAAACTTCCAAGACAGTCTGCGCAATACCTCGATGAGACATACTCAGTCGCATCATGAAAGTCAGCCAGGCGGTACCTCCCGTCAGTCCGGCTTTCACAGTGACCAGGCGGTACCAAACTTACCATTTGTACCGCAACAACAATATTTTTTGCAGCCACCACTGTTTGGTGGGCATGCAGCAAAGAATGTCCAACCTATGGACTGGCAGCTACGATTGCTTAGACTTGGGGAACAGCCGTCGGCCTTCTCCAAGGAAATTGCTGAAGCCGCTCAGCCGGCCAAAGTGAAAAATGTATTAGTAAGCGCCTATGACGGCACTACTAACCCAGAAGACCATTTGATGGCATTCACCAACCTGATGTACCTTCAAGGGTTGGATGATCCCACTTGGTGCAAGTGTTTCCCAGCGACTCTCAAAGGAATCGCACAACAATGGTTCGGCAACCTGCCGACTGGTTGTGTGAATAACTTCAGGACGCTTGCTTACTTATTCACCTCCAACTTTGCCATGAACATCCCTGCGAAGAAGACAACCCTTGATTTAGGAACGATTCAGCAGGGCGAGAAGGAGGGGCTTCGTTCTTACATCAGGCGGTTTAACCTGATGAGAATACAGATTCAAGGGTTACCGGATGAGGTAGCCTATACTGACTTTTTCAGAGGCCTCAAAGACGGATCGACATTCAAATTTGATTTGGTCCGAAAGAGGGTGGCGACTCTTCAAGAGGCCTTGATTGAATCATAAGCCTATATACAGGCGACTGATCTTTGCAGTACAAAACAATCGGACGGGAAAGGTTCGACAAAAAAGAAGGGCGACCGAAACAGTTGTCGAACAAAGATGAGAAGAAAAGAAAAGAGGTCTGGGCGGCTGATTCCTCTAAACAGCCGGCCCAGAAGAAGAAAAAAGAATTCAAACCATACTCCCCAAAGTATGCGTTTAGCCAGGACAGCCAAGCTATCCTAAAGGAAATCAAGGGACGGATCTCAATTGAGAAGCCGGTCCCCATGAAGGGTTCTGCAAGCAACAGGAACCAAGAAAAATTCTGTGATTATCATGAAGATGTTGGTCATCACACCAACGAATGCATCAGTCTTATGCGATATCTGGACCGCCTGGCTGAGCAAGGTGATCTTGACTCTTATGTCAAGAAATCCACGGGGAACACTTCCTCGAAAAAGCAGTCGGCTAAAAAGAGTTAACAGGCCGACAGCTCTGATACAGATGATGCAGTCGTCTACACCATTGCAGGCGGCTTCGCAGGAGGCGGTCCCACTATTAGGGGCAACAAAGACAATATCAGGCGGCTAGATGTAAATTCCGTTCACCAAGAACGACCCTCCAAATATTCATTTCCTGAGATTGTCATCACCGAAGAAGATCTAGGAGGGGTAAGGGGGCTGCATGACGACCCTATCGTTATTGAGTGTAAAGTGGCCAACCAAAGAGTAGGCCGAATCCTTATAGATACTGGAAGCTCCTCAGATCTTATCAGTAGCAAATGTCTGTCAAAATTAAAATATCAGACTGATTGCATACATCCGGCATCCCACCCTTTAGTAGGGTTTGGAGGAGGAGTCGTCCACCCAGTGGGACAAGTGGATTTACCCATCCGCCTGGGTGAAAAAGGGGAAGGACGACACATGGTAGTCCGGTTCCTGGTAGTAGAAGAACTCTCGGCCTACAATATGATTCTAGGACGACCAACCCTGAATAATTCCAAGGCTGTTATAATCCCATCTCTTATGTTGCTCAAGTTTGAGAGGGATAATGGAACAGTCGGGTCCCTAAGGGGAGATCAGAGGATGGCCCGAGAGTGCTATCTCTCGGATATCAAGCCCACTGTTATGACCGCTGGGTCAAGTGGTGGAAAAACAGACCTTGACAATGTCAAGGAAAGTGCGCCTGTTCAAGAAGCAGGCGGCAAGAAGAGAAAGGCAGCCCAGACAAGGGCTGCAAGAAATGACATTAGATAGCAATCATTGGCAGAGGAGCGGTCGGACGAATTCCGCCCTCAGCCGGCTGGTGAGCATACGGATCTGATCTTAGACGACTCACGTCCTGACCAAACAGTCAAAGTTGGGACGACTGCTCTGAAGATCCTGGGTTACGATTTGCACAAACTATTGAAAGAGTACAAGGACATCTTTGCATTCGAAGTCCACGAAATGTCAGGCATTAGTCCTGACCTGGCGGTACATAAACTGGCTGTGGATCCGAAAAAGAAGCCGGTAAGGCAGAAAAAGCGGAACCATGGCGAGGAAAGAAGCCAGGCGGCAGCCGTCGAAGTCAAGAAACTACTTGATGCAGGGTTCATTTGGCAATGTTACTTCCCAGACTGGGTTGCAAATGTAGTGCTTGTTAAAAAGCCGAATGGCACCTGGCGAATGTGTGTAGACTACACAGACTTAAACAAGGCGTGCCCCAAAGAGAGTTACCCTCTGCCTAAAATTGATAACCTGGTCGACTCAGCAGCCGGCCATGCTTTGATGAGCTTTATGGACGCATACTCTGGTTTCCATCAAATTCCTTTATGGAAGAAAGATCAGGAGAAGACGGCCTTCGTCACTGAT